ACACACACACACACACACACACACACACACACACACACACACACACACTTTTTGACCTGAGCAGACAGATGTCAGCCATCCACACCAACTACTGCCAACCAGACAGATGGGCGGGCACGATAGGATATAAGAGAAGATACTCACAGCTGTCCTCCTCCTCTGTGATGACACTGATGACGTAGCAGGCGTAGATGAAACCCAGCAGCTGAGGAGACAAACACAAACACATCAGTGTATCGACAGAGACAGACAGCACAACGAGCACAAAAGACAGACAGAGAGACATCAGACCGTTTCAGATCTTCTGAACCATTTTTTCTCCTTTACTTTCGACTTGAACAACTTATGACAATACATCATTATTCTGTAGCTAGATTTTTATATTTCTGTGTTTGCCTGTGTAAAAATATCCTCTGTGATTCTAGGGTGTTGTGGGTGGTTGCCAGGGTGTTGCCATGCAGTTGCTATGGTGTTCAGAGTGCTTATCACATTGGTATTTCATTTACTTCATGTTTTGGGTGGTTGCTTGGCCATTATTGGGTTGCTAGGGTGTTTCTATGCAGTTGGTAGGCATTCAGAGTCGTCTTATTGGTTACTAGGGTATTTTGAGAAATTGCTAAGGCGTTGCTCTGTCGTTGCTAAGAGTCAATTTCAGCATTCTTTAATTTGGTTGCTAAGGTATTCTGAGTGATTGCTAAAGCATTGCTATGTGGTTGCTAGGTGTCATGAATGTTTTTAACATGCTTTAATATGGTTGCTAGGGTGTTCTGAGTAATTGCTATGGCATTGTTATGCAGTTGCTAGGTGTTCTGGGTGTTTTTCGTGTGCTGCATTATGGAGTTGCTAGGTGTTCTGAGTGATTGCTAGAGTGTTGATATAGAGTTGCTAGGTGTTCTGAGTGATTTCAAGAGTGTTGCTCTAGAGTTGCTAGGTGTTCTGAGTGATTTCAAGAGTGTTGCTGATTTCTAGAGTGTTGCTATAGAGTTGCTAGGTGTTCTGAGTGATTGCTAGGGCGTTCCTATAGAATTGCTAGGTCTTCTGAGTGATTTCTAGAGTGTTGCTATAGAGTTGCTAAGTGTTCTGAGTGATTGCTAGGGCGTTCCTATAGAATTGCTAGGTGTTCTGAGTGATTTCTAGAGTGTTGCTCTAGAGTTGCTGGGTGTTCTGAGTCATTGCTGGGGCGTTCCTATAGAGTTGCTAGGTGTTCTGAGTGATTTCTAGAGTGTTGCTATAGAGTTGCTAGGTGTTCTGAGTGATTGCTAGGGCGTTCCTATGGTTGCTAGGTGCTCTGAGTGATTTCTAGAGTGTTGTTCTAGAGTTGCTGGGTGTTCTGAGTGATTGCTAGGGTGTTCCTATAGAGTTGCTAGGTGTTCTGAGTGATTTCTAGAGTGTTGGTATAGAGTTGCTGGGTGTTCTGAGTGATTGCTACAGTGTTGCTATAGAGTTGCTAGGTGTTCTGAGTGATTTCTAGAGTGTTGCTCTAGAGTTGCTGGGTGTTCTGAGTGATTGCTACAGTGTTGCTATAGAGTTGCTAGGTGTTCTGAGTGATTTCTAGAGTGTTGCTCTAGAGTTGCTGGGTGTTCTGAGTGATTGCTATCTAGAGTGTTGCTATAGAGTTGCTAAGTGTTCTGAGTGATTGCTAGGGCGTTCCTATAGAATTGCTAGGTGTTCTGAGTGATTTCTAGAGTGTTGCTATAGAGTTGCTGGGTTTTCTGAGTGATTGCTACAGTGTTGCTATAGAGTTGCTAGGTGTTCTGAGTCATTTCTAGAGTGTTGCTCTAGAGTTGCTGGGTGTTTTGAGTGATTGCTAGAGTGTTGCTATAGAGTTGCTAGGTGTTCTGAATGATTTCTAGAGTGTTGCCATAGAGTTTCTAGGTGTTCTGAGTGATTTCTAGAGTGCTGCTCTAGAGTTGCTAGGTGTTCTGAGTGATTTCTAGAGTGTTGCTCTAGAGTTGCTGGGTGTTCTGAGTGATTGCTACAGTGTTACTATAGGGTTGCTAGGTGCTCTGAGTGATTTCTAGAGTGTTGTTCTAGAGTTGCTGGGTGTTCTGAGTGATTGCTAGGGTGTTCCTATAGAGTTGCTAGGTGTTCTGAGTGATTTCAAGAGTGTTGCTCTAGAGTTGCTAGGTGTTCTGAGTGATTTCAAGAGTGTTGCTCTAGAGTTGCTAGGTGTTCTGAGTGATTTCAAGAGTGTTGCTCTAGAGTTGCTAGGTGTTCTGAGTGATTTCAAGAGTGTTGCTCTAGAGTTGCTAGGTGTTCTGAGTGATTTCAAGAGTGTTGCTCTAGAGTTGCTAGGTGTTCTGAGTGATTTCAAGAGTGTTGCTCTAGAGTTGCTAGGTGTTCTGAGTGATTTCAAGAGTGTTGCTCTAGAGTTGCTGGGTGTTCTGAGTGATTGCTACAGTGTTGCTATAGAGTTGCTAGGTGTTCTGAGTGATTTCTAGAGTGTTGCTCTAGAGTTGCTAGGTGTTCTGAGTGATTGCTAGGGTTTTAATATAGAGTTGCTATCTGTTCTGACTGATTTCTAAAGTGTTGCTCTAGAGTTGCTGGGTGTTCTGAGTGATTTCTAGAGTATTGCTCTAGAGTTGCTGGGTGTTCTGAGTGATTTCTAGAGTGTTGCTCTAGAGTTGCTGGGTGTTCTGAGGGATTGCTAGGGTGTTGCTCTGGAGCTGTTAGGTATTGAGAGTGATTGTTAGGGTGTTGCTATGGAGTTGCTAGGTATTCTGAGTGTTTTTTTAACATGTTGTTATAAGGTTGCTATGACACTCCTAGGTGGATGTAGGGTTTAGTGAGTGGTGAGTGGTCACTAGGGTGTTGTTATGCAGTTGTTAGGTGTTCTGGATGTCGTTTAGTGCACTGCTTTATGGTTTCTAGGGTATTTCGAGTAATTACTAGGGTGTTGCTTACTGGCCCGTTTCCAAAGAGCCAAACCCTATGAAGGACAGATAATGTTTCCACATGTTTACATGAGGTAAGAATCACAGGTTTGATCACTTGTAATAACACCTCTCCTCAAATTGCTTGTGATGTTCTTTATTTGTCATTTTTCAATAAAAGCATCCACTAAATGAATAAATGTAAATGCAAATGTAAATAATTTGAGGTATCATTCATGTGTGGGATTAGCTACTCGCCAAAGTTTAATACTCAGCATTAGGGGTTTGTTGAAATCCCTAACCATAAGTGTGTGCAGCAGGAATGGCAGGCACATCTAATATACCATTCATTATGAGAAACACATGGCCGATAATACATTACTCAAAGAGACATTAGAGAGAGTTTTACAAAGTCCTGTGCCAAGTGAACAGGGGACAGATATATGTGTGCGTGTGTGTGTGTGTGTGTGTGTGTGTGTAGATGACGGGCATATTGATGGGTATGGCAGTGCCACAGAGACAGATGGCACAGCACTGCATGAAAACACACACAGGGCAAACTCAAGTCCCAGAGAGTGGCACTATTCCAAACCAATTAATCTGTCATTGGGCAAACTTCCCGCCGTACACCTACCCTGAAGAAAAAAAAATGAATGCAGTGTGTTTGCATATGAACGAGAGAGAGAGAGAGAGAGAGAGAGAGAGAGAGAGAGAAACAGATACTGACAAAAACTTAAATGCCTAAATGAGAGTCTATGAGGCCCGTGAGAGGCTGTGATAGTGTGGGTATGGGCTGAATGGCTGAATGCCACAGCGCAGGTGAGACACATATCTGCTGTGCAGGGCAAAGTGGTTCAGACCTCCAATCAGCTTCTATTACACTGAAGGAGTTGTGAAATACCAACTGCATCAGAGGAAATGTCAACAACCAGACTGCCGACTGCAGGGGAGAGCTGGCTTGATTACTATGTTGTATTAACCTTGAATCTGTTGCTCCAGTTTGCTGTGTGTGTGCTGAAGTTTGTGGAGGTCATTTTAAGCCATTCAACTTTGACCTCAATAGACTTATAAAACCACGTTATCTTTGGCATCACAACGTTTACAGTAGATAAATGTTAATTTAATATTTTATGTTTTAAAAGAATTATTCTTACCAAATGCTGTATTTATTTGATCAAAAAAGTCAAAAAGAAATTTTACTATAATTTAAAATAAGTGTTTTAAATTTGAATATTTTTCTAAATAATTTATTCCTGTGATGCAAAGCTGAATTTTCAGCATCATTACTCCAGTCTTCAGTGTCACATGATCATTCAGAAATCATTCTAATATGCTGATTTAGTGCTCAAGAAACATTTCTTATTATCATCAACATTGTAAACAGTTTTGCTGCTTAATATTTTTGTGGAAGCAATGATATATTTTTTCAGGATTCGATAACACTTTATCTTAAGGTGTCATTGTTACACATGTTACATGTACTTACTATTATAATAACCATTAATTATGCATAATTAATGGTTATTATAATAGTAAGTACATGTAGTTAATTAATATTACTCCGTACTTATAAGTATAATTACACTGTAACAGTGTAACCCAGGATTCTTTAAAGAATATAAAGTTTAAAAGAACAGCATTTATTTGAAATAGAAATGCTTTGTAACATTCTGTTTTTACTGTAACTTTTGATCAATTTAATGCATCGTTCCTCAATAAAAGTATTAATGTATTTTTAAAAATGACTCCCAAAATCTTAAAGGTACTGTATTTTTATTAATTTTATAAATATGTATGTATTGATTTGTGTCAGGGCCCTGATAGTTTTCTATAGTGATAATAACTGGCTTACTTTATATTATCACTTGTTCCTTACAAGAACAGTGCAGACTGAATCAAACAGCAGAACAGGCTATTTATTATTCAGCTATAAATATTAAATATTTTGTTGAAGAGCTCTTTTACTCTGAGATCATGAGACAAATGTAACCCAAATTTAATAAATTCAAAACTAATTCTTGCTCAGGGCATCTCAGGTGAAGTGAAGAAGACTGAGACTTGACTACTCTTAGCTCAGATCTACTGCATGACTTGATATCTCCTTAATTATGGTCATTAAAAAAACATAAGCTATTTAAAAGTCAAGCTCTTAAAGTCAGGCCCCTCTGTTTCACTGTTTCAGGCCTCCACGATCATCTTCTTCTGCTGATTTTCATAGTTTCTTTCTACTATCTGGTGAAGTGTTGCAAAGTGATGCAGATTTAACCTTTTCTCTCTCCTCTGAAATATAAAGCATCAGAGCTGGCAGAATGTGTTAACGGTATTTCGGCTG